TGGTTAGCCGAGGTGGGAGCAAGAGGCGCTCTCTTCACATGCGCTATGAAATACTATGATTACATATCAAATCTGAGCTGGAAATGCAAAGGATAGAAGACTTCACTGTTGCAACTACTCATCTCTGCCATGGTGGCAATAAAGCCAGAGACAATACACAGCTGAATGGGCATGGCTATGTCCCAATAAAACTGTATTAACAAAGCAGGCGTCAGACTGGATTTGGTCCATCCGCTGCTATTTGCTGACCCCTGTTAAGCTGATGAGAACCAAGCATGCTGGGAAGGTTTTAAGGACCGGACGGGAGGACTGCAGTCCGTGCATGAAATAACCACTGNTAAATTAAATTCTTCTAATTTCCTTTTCAGATTGTTTGTTATTAGTGCACTAACACACAGCTAAGTTTTGTGTGACTTTGTATCCTACCAATTTGCCAAGTTAATTAGTTCTAACAGTTGTGTGTGTGTGTGTGTGTGTGTGTGTTTGTGTAATCATGTCATCTGTGAGCAGAGATAACTTTACTTCTTCATTTCCAACTCACATGTCTCTTATTTCTCTTCTTGCATAATTCTTCTGCCTAGGACTTTCAGTACTACGTGGAATAGAAGTTGTAAAAACAGGCATCCTTTTCATGTTTCTGATCTTAGAGAAAAGGTTTTCAGTCTTTTACCACTGAGCATGATGTTGGCTGTAGGCTTTTCATATATGAACTTTATTATGTTGAGGTACTTTCCTTCTATTCCTAGTTTGAGTGTTTTTATCCGAAAGGGTATTGAATTTTGCTAAATGCTTTTTCTGCATCAATTGTGGTGATGTTTTTTCCCCTTTATTCTGTTAATGTAATGTTATTACACAGGTTGAGTTTTGTATGTTGAACCATCCTTACATTCCAGGAATAAATCCCACTTTGTCATGATGTAAAATCCTCCAACTACACTGTGGAATTCTGTTCACTAGTATTTTGTTCAGGATTTCTGCATCAATATCCATAAGGGATATTGGTATATAGTTCTTTTCATGTATCTTTTTCTGACTTTGGAATCAGGATAATGCTGGACAGAATGAGTTAGGAAGTCTTCCCTCCTCTGCAAAATTTGAGGAGAGTTTGAGAACAATTGGTGTTAGTTTTTCTTGA